AACCGATTGCCTTGAAAAATCTGACTAAAGTGGAGTGTGAATCTAAAGCTGAGTTTAGAAGTAATTCCTCAGTGTAGTGTACTGTAAATTCCTTTTTCATCAAACTAATCAGAGCAAGTTACCTACTTTTCATTCACAGAACTCATGTTGTGAAGCTGACCCAACTAATCAGTCACTTTCTCAACTCTGAAATATGTAGTAACTTTAACCCTCTCAGGCTCAAATTATTTTTTAGTATCAGGAAAAATCTGATATTTGGGGAAAATTATCATATGGGGTAGTAATATACAATCCTGACTTTTTTATCCTTTGTAAACAAAAAAAGTATTTTGCACTTCTGGCAGGCCGTTTTCATGTAGCCGTTCTTGCACAGTCTGCATCGTCCACGTTTATCAGCATGGATGGGAGAAACGGCTCCTCAGTAAAAAAAAAAGCTCATAAAATATGGATGTGGAGTAAGTAGGTAATTGGAATTTAGCTGTTGCAAATTCGCAACGCCTGCCTGGAGAGGGTTAACAGTAAGTTCATCTTCCTTGAAAAAAAAAGGAAACTGATTGCCTTGAATTGAGCATGTAAATGTTACTTATAAACACAAGTTAGAGTAAGAACAGTTTCTATTTTACAATAACACCATTTAGATCTGCATCCAGTACAAGGATTTTAATATTTATTACTCTTTGAAAAAATTTAGCAAAACTTTTGTTCATCTTAAATTCAAAACACATCGTAATATGTGAAACAATAAAATAATATAGCACTCGGTTATTCCATGTCAACTCAACCAAGGCCCCCACACTTAGGGCTCAAAAAATGAATAATAATAGAGACTGGATGAACAGAGGGATGATATAGAGACGGTCCTGGGAGGATCAGGGAATGAGTGGCGGCTGAAGGAAAAACAGGGAGGTAGCAAAAGGAGGACTGGAACAGACTGGGAAATGGAGCTGGACTCTTGTTACGTCACTGTTGTACTTACTCGTCTCATCCTAGTTGACCTAAGTCTAAGGCTATGTTCAGACTGCAGGGCTTGTTCAGTTCCGATTTTTTTGTGAAATCCGATGTTTTTGCGAGGTCGTTCACATTTCTAATTAAATGTGACTTGTATGTGATCTCCAGTGTGAACATTAAACGGCCCAAAAGTGTCCCGTATGCACAATGGAGGACACGATGACGTCAACCGCAGCGAGCGTGCTCTGTGTTTACGGAAGATGTCCAAACATGGACGAAAGCATTGAGCACCTGGAGATTTTAAAGTTCCTCTCGTACCGGAGCCAGAACATGAACAACTTACTTGTTGTAAGGAGGAGATTGAGAAGGAGAAGGACGAGGTTTTTGGCCGTGGTGTTTTGTGGGACAGCGGCAACAACGTCCATTGAAAGGAACGTGTGGATGCGCAGATGTAGCCAAGAGTGGTGAGTGGTGGTGTGCTTCGCTTCAGTGACACGGAGTTTGTTAACAATTTTCACCTACTTCAGCGCAGAATAGTGGCGTTTGTGGCTTGTTGATAACATGTAGGTCGGATGAATGCACTTTGGCTGTTCAGACTGAAGTCACATGTCAAAAGATCAGATATGTATCAGTTTCAGGACCACATGTCCAAGTGGTCATTAAAAGATCAGATACAGGTCACATAGGGGCCAAAAAATTGGATTTGGGTCACTTCAGGCTGCAGTCTGAACGGAGCCTAATTGACAAGTCATGTGCGTTTTTCACCCTGAAAGTCACTGTTACTTTACTACAATCATGAAGATCCACAAATTTGTAGCTGTGAGTAAAGTAAACGAGCTGAATGCAAGATAACCCTAATGTTAAGATTTTACAGTGAAGGTAAAAGGTAGCCCTTAACTTGAAAACTAGTACTTCATGACGTCATAACGTGGAACAGAGCATTTTGAGCTTTGGAGATGTAGTCAGACTAGTAATAAAGGGGTGTGAATGAAACAAAAGACAACTCCAGGTATGTTTTAGATGAGGTCCTTTAAAAGACTCTATGGATAATCCTTTTGTTTTGTTTTGTTTGTTTTTACCATTTTTTACTCCGTTCTCTTCATCAAAAACATACCCAGATTATTTTTGCTTCATTCAAGCTTGTTTCAGTAATCCTATTTACAAGGTTCTCCAGCTCTGAGCCTTAGAAATCACAGTTTCAATTTTCTCAGGACTGTGACGTCACAAGTAGAAATCCTGCACAGTTTTTAAGTCCATCAATCATCGCGAGACTGAGCTTTTCCGGTGTCAAATTACATTTATTACACCTGTGGTTCAGCTGCTTCAATAGCTGGTTTTTATTTTTTCAAAGTTCAGCCTCACTGCTCTCACCAAAGCTCATCTGAATTGGAACATGATTGTAACTTTTAAAGACGCTCTTTTCCTCATCATAAACATACCTGGAGTTGTGTTTTGTTTCATTCACACGTTTAACACGCAAGCCTAGGGTGACCAGATGTCCCTATTTCCCCGGGACAGTCCCAGTTTTGAGCCATGTGTCCCCCGTTCCAACAGATTTATCCAAAACCATTGATTTGTCTCAGTTTTATATAAGAACTGTCCCAGGTGTCCCTATTTTTAACCAATTTGATACTTGCCAACAATAAAGAGATGCATACTTTGTCATTTCTTTAAGCAAAATACAAAAAAGCTGCTTAAAAATGACCAAAACACAAAGAAAATATAACTATACTAACTCACATATTAGTCGTGAATGGGTCAAATAACAATTTTCTTTAATTATGCACTCGTTTCACAATTTTATTATTACCAACCACCACTACACCGGGGATGTCCCAGTTTTTTATTTTGAAAATCTGGTCACCCTACGCCAACCTTGCATATTTTAGGGAAAACCTAACAGGAGACACTCTGTTCCACCTTGTCCTGCCACAACAGAAATATATTAACGAATATTCATGGTAATATATCCTGTATGAGTTTAAAAAAGTGTCGATATATCTGTATTTTCGTTATTGTGTCGCAGCCCGGTGTCTTTTACCACTTGTGTATGAGAGTGTTATTAGTTGCTCATCTTGCTCAGTTATTGACACGAACTGTGCTTTTGTAGCTCTTTCAGCACTGCCAACCTTGAAACTCAACAGCAAAGTGAGTGCTGTCTGAATAAATTTGAACTAAAAAAAAACAGTTTTAGTCAGTAGATTTTTGTAAGGTTAAGGATGTGTCTTTCTTTGACATGGTGAAGCGGCCAGTTTTGTCCCAGTATGGAAATTTTGTCCTTTATTTGAGCTGTCCTTCAGCCTGTCAACTGCAGACACTGGGGGGAATATGTTCATTTTAAGGTCACAAGTGATTTAAGTTTCATGTTTGGGTTATCCAGTAATGATATTTTATAGTGACATCATGCTGGGGGTGTACTGCATGTATTTCTATTGTGGAATGTTCAGAAATGGCCATGGTTAAACAATACACACATAAAAATGGATGTAAACAACATACAAGTGTTCATGGTTCTGTTTAGTCCCAGGTAAGTCAGTTCTCTATGATCAGTGTTGAAACAAAGCTCAGAATAGGAGAGTTTCAGCTGACTTCATTGTTATTAAAAGCCCGCGTTGCATGCTGGGAAATATTTTGGTCGGAGGCAAGAAACAGGATAGCGGTCAAACACAGTGCGTAACCTCGCGTTTTTATCCCCGATAATGGTCAATTCCTGCTGCATTATCGGATGCACAAATAGAAGCACGGAAGAAGGAAAATGTCTTTTTCGTATTCTGAGTGAAAAGAACCGCTAACGGTGAATTAAATGGCAAACCGTGGACTCCAACAAGTTCAACAACACATCGAGACTCTTGAAGTCTTTCATCTTTTCTGCTGTGAATGGCCCAGGAGTTTCCACCAAGTCATTGTGGATATTGCCGAAGTAAATATTTGTCCAGGTAGTTGGCGATTCTGACCAGAAATTTGGATTGGTCCACCTTTTGTCGGGGTTGAAAAGGGTGATTTGGCTCCATCGATGCTTATGACCAATTTCTGGTCAAATCCTCTTGGTCCTCTGCCGTTAGAGTGGATAAATAACCGGGATCAATACCCTTTACGTGCTTTCTCGCTCCATCTGTCATGTTGAATTAGTGTTTATTGCCGCCGACCAAAATAATTCCCAGCATGCAACGCGCGCTTTTGTCAACAATGAAACTCGCCTATGAAGTCAGACAAAGCATGCCTACAGTTAGCATCACACACCTGGGTAATGTTGATGATATCATCTGCAAAGTATCAGTTGTCTTGCAGTCACGGTTTGGGTGCTCATAAAATATCTGTTTTCACCCACTACATATCCCCACCCAAAGCTCTGTGCTTAGAAAAAATGTAAACCCCTGGCCAAGCACACAGGGTTAACAACTTTTGCATCATCTCACTTTTGATTTCAGGGACAAGGCTAAACTTCTTCAATGATTTAATCATGTTGAGTAATCCTGCACATTTTTTGGTGTTTTTTCCACTCTTAACGGCCACGGACCTGATTTTACCCCATGTACTTGAGCAAAATATGTCTTGTCTTATAATCTTGAGGTCAAAATAGGTCTGCTGTGTGCTGACTGCATCTAATTATATTATAATATTTTACTATAGTGTTTTATTGTCTGATAATCAGGAAGTGTGCTGTTAGCATGCTAATTATTGTTAGCTAAAAGAGTATTTTCACTAAAACAGTCTGAGGTACGTCTGTCAGCATCAGCATGTTTTATTTGGTTCATTTGGGCTTCACCTTTGACCTCCCCCAAACCACAACGCTGCTCTGTGATTGGTCCAGTTTCCGGCCCACCCACAGCCAGACCCTGTCACATCAGCGGGAACATGCCAGGATGGATTCTGGTGAGTTTGTGAACACATATTTTGAGGATAATTATTGTTGTGCAAGGTCAGTGCTCAAAAGTAATCTCTAGTGTGTTATACTGTGAGTGTATCTGCCTGTAGTACTAAAGCGTCCATGTACAAAGGTAGTTGTAACAGTCTGAGTAACACGTGACTCTGTAGAGTGACTGTGTTGTTACCTGGACTCTGGAGGGAAGAGGTACAGAGACCACGTGTCCCTCTGCTTGCACCAGTCCGGCTGCTTCTTCTCCAGGTAGTGGAAGAGTCGAGCCGATCGACCCTGGAGATAACATCCAAGACAAACATTATCACCATTGCCATACTGGTAATGAAACATTGTCACCATTATCATACTAGTTATTCCCATTATTATATAAGTTATAAGAAAAGCCACATCCAATACAAACAGGATTCTCATTACCATACTAGTAATGAAACATGATTACCATTGCCATACTGGTAAATTGAAACATGATTCCATTACCATACTAGTAATGAAACATGATTACCATTACCATACTGGTAATGAAACATGATTACCATTACCATACTAGTAATGAAACATGATTACCATTGCCATACTGGTAAATTAACATGATTACCATTACCATACTAGTAATGAAACATGACTTCCATTACCATACTAGTAATGAAACATGATTACCATTGCCATACTAGTAATGAAACATGATTACCATTACCATACTAGTAATGAAACATGATTACCATTACCATACTAGTAATGAAACATAATTACCATTGCCATACTGATAAATTAACATGATTACCACTGCCATACTGGTAAATTAACATGATTTCCATTACCATCTGAGTAATGAAACATGATTACCATTACCATACTGAGTAATGAAACATGACTTCCATTACCATACTACTAATGAAACATGATTACCATTACCATACTAGTAATGAAACATAATTACCACTGCCATACTGGTAAATTAACATGATTTCCATTACCATCTGAGTAATGAGAAAAGTCACATCCAACACAATCATGATTGCCTTTACCATACTATTGCAGTAATGAAACATGATTACCATTACCATACTAGTAATGAGGAAAGTTAGCTGCTAGTATTGAGCGTTAGACCTTTGGGCAACTCGTCAGCACCATTAAGAGCACTGATAAAACAGAAGCTCATTGATCCGGTGCTGTTATGAAACCCGGTTTGGAGACCCATCCATAACAGAAACACTGAAACGGCACATACCATCTGCACGTCCTCCTCTGCGTTCTCGTCCTCTGTTGTGTTCTCCTCCACAGACACATGTGTGGGCCCCAGCGCTGTCGGGGAGCCCTTCCCGTTACAGTCCCTGTGCTCTGGGGGCCTCAGAGCCATCAGAGAGGGTGGTCTGGAGCTGTGCATGCTGGCCGAGCGATACAGGAACGGCACCTGTGACCACAAACAGCCAGGGAACAGATATGACCTTTAATAATTCTGTATTATTAGTCGATCTACATCTCCAAAGCTCAAAATGCTCTGTTACACTTTGTGATGTCATTTAGAGCTGGTAGTCTCAATTGAAATGCAAAAGACCAGCATAACTAAACATTTTCTACGTTTCCTACATTTTCTTTGCCCCTTGTTCAGTTGATATATTGACATACAGTACATATTAAGTCTATAATATCTTCTGGAGTTCCCAAGAATGAGGTTCAATGAGGCTAAAACGACTGATGTGGCTTCAAAGTTTGGCCAGAGATGCAATTATTCAAATGATTCTAGTGAAGGTGTGTGGAGTTTGAAAGCACAGTTGAGCACTTTCTGTATTTATTTTAATGCATAATTAATGTATTAATACATTTTACTCTTTTATTGCCATTTTATGTCTTTTTTTTTTCGTCTCTGTGCAGCACCTTTGAAACTCTCCTTGAAATTCTGAACAGTATTTCCCACCAAAAAAAAACATGAAAACCAGTCTCATGCGCTGAATATAAAATACATTATTCCCTCTTGGTCCTGTTGTTTTTCAGTTTTTGAAGGTCTATTTAAAATCTGGACTCAAAACATATGAGCATAACTGAATTATTGATTTCACTTTAGTTTTGAGCTTTTGATCGAGACTGTATCTGCCCACAGAGAATCAACTGAACCACTTTTACTAATTACACCGACTGTTTTGCTGTTTATTCCCTCAAATAACTTGTATTCAAGGTTTGAATGCTAAGAAAATACCTGTTTTCACCTACCACCTACCTCATCACTTTGGAAAATGTAGATTCTGGGTCATACAATTTATGCTTTTATGAAGACGCGGAAAGTCAATGTACTTAAAAATGTAATTGTTTTAGATAAATTATTTAAGTTTGTGGTGGAAAAAAACAAACAAACTATAAATTACAAGTTAAACCCAAATTTTCAGTCTTAATGGTGCAATATTACTAAAAATTGACTCTTGTGAGCTTTAAGCCATGTGAAAATGTTGTTACCTCCTCAAAAACATACCCGGAGTTGTGTTTTGTTTCAGTCACACATGTATGAGTAATCCTTTATTATTAATCTGTCGACATCACTAAAACTCAAAATGCTGTGTTCCACCTCGTGATGAAACTGTAGTTCTCAAGTTAACAGCTGCCTTTTATCTTTGGTTCAGTAGAGATTGGCAATTCCAGGGTTGAAATGATCCAAATGATTCTAGTGAAAGTGTATCGAGTTTTTCTTTTCTTTTTCTTTTTTGGAGTGTTTTTTGTTTGAGTTAAGAACTCAAGGCTAAATAACCAGGATTTGCGCATGGAAAGCCAAGTCAAAAGACCAAAGTCTGACCGGTATTTAGATCTTGTGTTCAGGCTCGGGTTGGATTTGGACTTGGTTTCCTGTTTACAGTAAAACCACTCATTTTGAGACTCTTAAGTGCTCAAAAGATCACAGCTCTGCACTTGTAGTTTAGACACAAGACAAAACTGTGTTATTATTTGTGAAATGTGGTGCAAAACTTCAGATACATGATTGTTAACGCATAAAAGATTGGCAATAAAGTTCACAGGAAGTAAGGTCACTATCACTAATCTACAGCTTCACCTTGATCCATGCGCTGTGTGGATGTAAACAGAAACACGTGAACTACTTTCGCCTTTGTATTTTGTGTCTCTGTGTCCGTTAGAAGCCACACAAATAATATTCTCTGTGTGTCATTAGTAAGCATGTGAAAAGTTTTGATTTTTCGGTTTAAGCGTGCCAGGCTAGGACAGAAAAATTCAGCCCGATCCACACTCTAGTATGAATGAAACAAAACCCAACTCCAGATATATTTATGATGAGGAAACAACATTATAACATGGATCAGAAAATGGACCCTTTAAACATTTTTTAAATATGAGTTAAAAAAAAGTGCCGACCACAGACAAGAGGAGAATCATATGAAATTTCAAATCTTATGATCCTCCAAATGGAAAGACTGCAGTGTGATGTGGCAGCGAAAAGGCCGCACCCCACAAGATAAAAGTTGTGAAGTATCAAAACTATAACACCTCGCATGAGCCTTAAGTCTTAAGTAAAACCACTCGCTTTGGGATTCTAAAATACTCAAAAAATTATCTAATTTAGATGCAAGTCAAAACTGTGTTGGTATTATTATTTGTGAAATGCGGTGTAATAGTTCAGCTAAAAGCTTTTAATGCACAGAAGGCTGGCAATACGCTTCAAACTGGAATAATAGCACTGTTTTGTGGTCAGCCAATCCCTTCTACATTTTGCTCAAATCCAGAAGGGACTGGAGCTGGACCACAGAGAACAGAGAAGAAAAACCTCCATCCAAACATGAGACGATCCAACCACAGCCGCTCAGTTGGATCATGTGTCCCTCAAACCCAGAAAACATCTCCCACTCAAAAAGTCTCATAACATTCAGAACAAAATATACAACGTCTTTTATCTGAAATAATCGAATTTGGTGTTCGATTGTGGATTCTGAGAAAATCCACATTTGACACGAACGGAGCAAGCGTCTCTCTTATTGGTTAATCCGCCTGTCAATCACGCCCTCCGAAATCACGTAGACTGGATATAGCTCCAGATCCGCTCATCTTTGCGAAGTTTGATCAAAATGTGCGGTTCTGGCTGGTTTTCGTGGACTGTCATTGTTTAACGACATTCTGAGAGGTTAATAATAAAGTCGTCTTAAAATAATTTTTGCTATTTCCTGAGTTTGTATATTGCTCCTCTGTGTCCATCACTTAGTCTGACCCTGACGCTCTGTATTGGCTGTTGCCGTGGTGATGTTTTGTGCTTACGTTATGACCGAGCAGCTCTGGGTCACAAAGTCACAAAGTCGGGTTTACGCCTCCCCGGGGAGAAACAAATGGTGGATTTAATCGAGCAAATGATCCTTTAGGATGTGGTGATGTCACTTTTTGGTTGGAGGCCCATCACCTGCTTGTTTCTATGGTTATGTCATTGCTCTGGCTGGAATGTTCCACAGTATGACATTAAACAGCTCTACTTTACATTCATTCAACTGCAGGTGGTTTTATAACTCAAAAATACCTAAAAAAGCAGGCATTCTCCACAGATCTGACCTGTAACTTGGTCTGGTTTGGTCTCCAGGAAGATAGAAAGATTTAATACCATACTGTGAAACATTCCAGAAAAAACAATAAAAGCATTTGACAGACGCTCCACCAGCAAAGTTACACTATGCACCATTAAGTTAGTTTTTATTACCTAAAAAAAAATACAGGGTGTCCCAAACAATTTGACATCATTTCGTAGGCCAGTAATTTTAGTCATTCTTGTTGAAAGTAACCTCAAATTTTCACAGAATGTATAGAAACAGAGTTTTATTTTTGTTCCGTTTTCAGGTTGAGCCGTTCACTCTCAAAGAGAAGTCATTTTGCGTCTTGAAATATGTTCGCACCCAAGACTGTGCAGCCTTCAGTGCAAAATTTGGAAAAACTTCACTAACTGGCAAACAAATTTGGACTTGGTACCAAAACTTTAAAAAGGAAGGCTAAAGGACTAAAGGATCTGGTAGACCAACATCAACACTTAGGGCCAATCCTATTTCTAATTTCTACCCCTACCACTTGCCCCTTGCCCCTTGAAACTGAGCAACAAGGGATAGGGGCTGAAAGTAACCCCCTACGAATTGGGACACCCCTTCAACAGTCACATACGTCATCAGTAGATTCTGCCAGCTTTTACATAAGCAGACGTGACAAGCTTTTGCCAGAAATCCAACATGTCGTCTACAACTGTGGTGGTCTCTCTTGCGTGGGCTCGCAATTCTTTCACAACTTCAAATCACACAAAGAACGTTACACTACTCAATGTAGTACTAGAGACTTTTTCATGTGCATTTTATGAAGAAAATTACCATTACGCATTGGAACAGCGATAAACTTAAGGCAATACAGAAGTTATCACAACAAGCCAGTTACTACACTACATTTGTGAACTGCTTTAGTCTCTGTGGTCGTGGTAGCAGCCATCTTGCCGGTGATTTTTCAAGGCATTTTGAGAAATTGAAAATACCCATCTGTTTGGAGTGTGCCTCTGAAAAATCTTCATTTGGAGGGGTGTATAGCTATGCCACTTTCCCCTACCCCTCTGTCATAATGGTAATTGGTATGGAAAGTGGGATTCAGCCTTAGCAGTTTTCAAGGTAATTGCTTTTAAAATGTTGTCAATTTTTTTGGGACACCCTGTATAGATATATGTATATATAAATAAATCCTTCACTGTTTCTTCTAATATCCTTCTGTTGTTCTAAAAACTCCATCCATGTTGATCTATAATGTACCTGCAGAAGAGCATCAGGTGGTAGATCCATGGAACTCCTCGTCTCCACCGACTCCATCCTCCTGTGGCGCGGCCTGATTTGCTGAGACATGGAATCCGTCCTGGCCAATGAGGCGTCATCGTCCTCCAGGAGCCCGCCCCCGCTGGAGTCCCCGCCCCCTCCGGAGTCTCCGCCCCCCTCTGCCTCGTCGGAGCTGGATCCGCCTCCCTCTCCGGACAGCAGGGACCTCCTCTCTCCCGATTGGTGTTTGGGCCTCTTGAGGGAGGGGGCGCGGTTGAGGCTGTTCCAGCTGGAGCGGCGGCTGGAGCGCACACTGCCACTGCCCCACGGAGTGTACGGCGACGGGCTGCGGCTCGTCTGGAGAGAGAGAGACACAAATGTTAGCCAAAAGTTAGTCAAAAGTTTGTTAAAAGTTGCTCTAAAGTTATTCAAATGCATAATTTTCCGTATATGACAGTAAATGCATTGTGATTTCAGTACATAGTTAAAATTAGCTAAAGGTTAGCCAAAAGTTAAGTCAGATGTCAAAAATTTAACAAAAAACAGTCAAAAAATTGCCAAAAGTTAGTAAATAGTTAGCAAAAAGGTTTTTACTTATTTATTTATTTGAACATAATTTTCCATGCATGACAGTAAATGCATTGTGGTTTCAGTACATAGTTGAAATTAGAAAGTTGGTTAGTCAAAAATTATCCAAAAGAAGAATGTCTTAGATTGTGGAATCTTTTGGTCACAGATTTGGTCAGTATTCACCCATGTCCAGAACAGTGCTGGTTCAAATCAGCCACAGTATGTAACATTTTAGTCAAATAAACTAAACTAAAAGCATGTTTTTTCAATGTGATTGTTTTCATTGCACCTGTAAAACATGCATCCTCAATGTGTGTAGGCTTGCATCTCCACAAACCTGACGCTTATTTATTATACTCATGCTTGTGTCCATGGTCATGTTGATCCTTTGGCTATAATTTTCCACACTATGACATAAAACGTATCTGCACTATCTCCATGCAGAATGTTCCAAAGTATGATTTTTAATTTAAAGTACTTTTTTTTTTTTTTTCCTTGGTCTCATGCAGTTGATTTTCCACCTCCAAAAAGTGACATACTGTACTTTAAAGATGCCTTATACCCATGTCCACTACAGTCGTAGTACAACAGCTGGTCACGACTAGAAGGGCATTCTGTCTATTCAACTGTTTAATCTATGAATGTAACACAACCAGCGATAAATGGACACACTTTCTTGGCAAATTTAGTGTTAAAATGATCATTAAATGTCCTATATTTAATTGTTGATTGTTGATATGTTTCGTCTGAAGAACTGACAATAAACCTTTTTTATTTGAATTTTAATTTTCAGATGAATGTGCATGAACGTGCTGCAGTTGTAGTTGGAAATAAGGGGAGGCACAATAAGCTTTAGCTTCTGCTTACATCTGCTCAGTGACTTACTTAGTGTCTGATTTGATTGTTCTACAAACTGCATATGTTTTATTTTATGGGCATTAGACTGAATATAATGTATGTAGACTATGAGTTTAACATTGACCAAATACAAGCACATGAACCATGAACATATTTCCTGCATATTTGACTCTTTTGAGTTTTAAAGCATGATATAGCCAGAGTTCCCACTCTTTTTCATTGACAAAATCTCAAAACTTTTCCATGACTTTTTCATGACCTAAAGTGAATTTTCCATGACTTTACGGCACGTATATGTGTAGAATTGATCAGACCTTTAGTGCTAAATATTAAATGTTATTCCTTTCCACTCACCTTATGGTTTGAGATTATAGTTTTGTAACATTCAAAATCCTGTCAGTGCATTTATTGTCGTCTCTTTTAAGAAAAGGCAGATACGTTCAGAAATAATCACAATAGCCTCATGAGAACTTAACAGAAACGCTGTAGTTGCATGAAAGAGATACTAAAATTCCATTACTTTTTTAAAACTTTCATTGAATTTACAAAATTCCATGACTTTTCGAGGACAGGAAAATGACATTTTCAATTTCCATGACTTTTCCAGGATTTCCATGAGTGTGGGAACCCTGTATAATGTTGCCTCCTCGAAAACAGACATGGAGTTGTGTTTTGTTTCATTCATACACATTTGAAAAACCCTTTTAGCATTAGTCTGTGTACAACCTACATCTCCAAAGCTCAAAATGCTCTGTTCCACCTTGTGATGTCATGAAGTGGCAGTTTTCAAGTTAACAGTTAATCTTTTACCTTTTGTTCAGCAGAGATTGGCAATTCCAGAGCTGAAATGTTCCAAATGATTCTAGTGAAGGTGTATGGAGTTTAAAAACACAGTGGAGCACTTTCTGTGTAGATGATATCACAAGGTGGAACAGAGTGTTTTCTGTTTGAGAGAAGAGCTCAACTCCAAAAACTCCAAGTATGTTTTTTTTGTTTTTTATGTTTTTGTGCAGCACTTTAAAAACTGTCCTTGCTTTTAACTTTAGAGTTTCAAAATTCACTTCACAAACTGGCACTTGACTGGTTTAAAATCATGAATAATATTTACCACAGGCAATATCCCGCCAAAAAACACGAAAACCAGTCTCCCGCACTGAATATAAAATACATCATTCACGCTCGGTTCTGTTATTTTTCTGTTTTTGAAGGTCTGCTTAAAATCTGGATTCGGTTCAGCTCAGCAAAAGTGAATTATATGTTTCACCTTGGTCTTAAGCTTTTGATAGGGACAGTATGTACCCGCAGAGAACAAACTGAACCACTTTTCTAATTATAACGATTGTTTTGCTTTTCAATAAAATAAAAACCGAAAACAAAACAAAATAAAGAATTCAACTCTGTTAGTTATATAGTTAGTTAGGCCTTGCGGTCAAGAAGTCAAAATAAACTTCCTCAAAATATTTCCTTTTCCAGCAATCCTCAACGTTAATTAGGCACAATGTTTCTTCTTCAAATGTTTTTTAACTTTTGTTTTTTGTTTGTTTGTTTTCTCTACAAAACATTTAATTTTACTTTTAGCTTTAGTCACGATGAAGTTCTACATTGTTTAGTGTAAAGTCTAGTTTTATTATGAGCTTTGGAGATGTAGACAGACTAATAATGAAGGGTTACTTAAACATGTGAATGAAACAAAACACAACTCCAGGTCTGTTTTTGAGGAGATAACAGCATTATAACACGACTTGAAGCTCACAAGAGTCAGTTTTGTGTAATATTGGAGCTTTAATAATACAGATAATAGCACACTTTTGGCACAATCAATGCTTGGTAAACTATCCCCGTTAGTCCTCCAGACCTTGCCCCTCACTCTCCCCTTTAGTCCCCCAGACCCTACCTTTCCCCTCCTACTCACTCTCCCCTTTAGTCCTCCAGACCGCAACCTAACTCTCCCCTTTAGTCCTCCAGACCTCGCTCTTCACTCTCCTCTTTAGTCCTCCAGACCCCGCCCCTTCTCCCCCGTCACTCTCCCCTTTAGTCCCCCAGACCCTACCTTTCCCCTCCTACTCACTCTCCCCTTTAGTCCTCCAGACCGCAACCTCACTCTCCCCTTTAGTCATCCAGACCCAGTCCCTCCTCTCGTATTAACTCTCCCCTTTAGTCCTCCAGACCTCGCCTCTCCTCCCCCTCACTCTCCTCTTCAGTCCCCCAGACCCTACCTTTCCCCTCTTATTCACTCTCCCCTTTAGTCCTCCAGATCCTGCCTCTCACTCTCCTCTTTAGTCCTCCAGACACCACCCCTCCTCCCCCCGCTCTCCCTTTAATCCCCCAGACCCCACACTTCCTCCCCCCTCACTCTCCCCTTTAATCCCCAAGACCCCGCACTTCCTCTCCTACTCACTCTCCCCTTTAGTCCCCCAGACCTCGTCCCTCACTCTCCCCTTTAGTCCTCCAGTCCCCACCCCTCCTCCTCTAGTCAATCTCCCCTTTAGTCCTCCAGACTTCGCCCAAGTTTTTTCACTCTTGGAAAAATAAAAGGTAACTTTTAACTTGTCCCAATTGTTATTTGTTCATTTTAAAGAAGACAAATTGTGCTTTTGTCTGCTATACAGTTATACTCTCTGACATCTGTGGGCCATTACGTTATATCCACATTTTCATATATAGTAAGTACAGATCGGCAGCATGGCGTCTCGAAAATAAGTGATTAAAGATGACTTAAAAATGCACGAATCACTCCAAATACAACTTTGAGAGGGTAAATGAGAAGAGGAGAAAGAGGTCAGTACTGCAGTTCTTTGAATTTCAATGATACCACAATGTGACGTTTCGGGTCAAGCCTTTCTTTGTGGTGTTATTGAAATAAAAAATCGGGACCTTCAAAGAACTGCAGTGCGGATCTCTTTCTTCTTTTGCTCAATTTTCGTTTTTTGGACCCAGCATGCAGTCTCAATTTTTGTTGGATGTGCATGTCTCTATTTAGCAGTAAATGAGAAACAGCTAGAAACATGGTTAAAAACTCTGAAAAGTTCATTTTGCAGAGTAGGTTTGCGTAAATATTTCTCGGTGTTGACATGAATCATTCTCGTTCACTTTTAGTAGTTTGAGTTTCCATTCTCAAAAGCACTACATCAACAACAACTGACAAAACACATCCGCCAACAAAACTCACACCTTTTACAAACCGCACTTTTCCACATGCTCTTCTGGACCACACCAGCTGCTGAACTTATGCCTGATGCCCTCCCCCTCCCGCTCCCTCTCCCTCTCATATGCATAGGTCCGGGCTGACTCACTGGCTGGTTAATGAAGTGTTGTGAGAGCGCGCGGTGTTGACAGACAGCACTTCTCCGTGGGTCGATCTCAGCTTAAATAAAGAGTGGCAGGTTTGTACTGCTCCGGAGCTGTGTGGAGGCCGGCCTAATCACGACCCATCAACACCGCTCATATCACTGCGCTTTACTGCAGCCGAGCGGCGGAGAGGCAATCCCGCCCGCTGCTGTTCTCTTGTGAAAGTGACAACTGTACGGGGAGATGTATGTCGTAACTCAACACCGGGTTCAACGGAATTACAGACTCATTCATTGATGTTTTTTGCGGCGTTTTAACCTTCTCAGCAGACATGTTTGACAACTGTTTTAAGTAGTGATGGGCAAATGAGAAGGAGCCCCGGAGCACGTCTCGTTCTTTCTGAAACAAATTGCTCCGAAGCACTGCCTCGGAGCTCGTCCCGCAGCAGCCGCTCACGTGACCAAAGTGTCCAAGTGTCGGTCCCTCCCCCTACTCCCCTACTGCTTCGCTCTGCGTGTCAATCGCTTCAGTGTATCGAAGCGTTTCATTGGCTCAGCGAATGTTCCGCTCTGCGATTGATTCAGAGTAGGGATGGGCATTCGATTAAATTTTCTTAATCGATCGTCGGAATTAACGATCGA